CCGGAGCCCCCGCCCCGCCCGCGGGCCCGGGCGCGCGGTTCCTGCAACTCCGGACCCGAGTCCTCGCAGGCCGCCGCCGCCCGGAACCCCGGGCCGTGGACGCCCGACCGACCCCACCTGTGGACACAGGCCCAGCCGCCCCGTCCCGCTCTGCCTCCTTCCTGGCCCCTCCAGCAACATTTAAGCAGGAGCCCTGGACACCTACTGTGTGCCAGTTCCGAGCTCCTGCTGAGCTGGGGACCTTCGGGCATCCGGAGCCTCGCGGGGCTTGCGTTCTCCTGGGCGACACGGACGCTCGTCGCACAACCACGCAACCTAAGTGATGAATTAGGGAGCTTTAATGAGGGCGCTGCAGGAGCCGCGGGAGTTCACCAGGTGAAGGGCTTTGGGGTGTGTAGGGGTGGAGTGGAGCGGAAGGGGACAGCCAGGTAGAGAGGACATTAGTGAGGCACTCCTGGGGACCTGGGAGTGAAAAGAACCAGGGAGCACAGGGTGGGAGGGAGTGCACAGTAAATCCCCTCCTAGGCATTTATCTTGAGAAACCTGTCCAGGAGCGGGCAGAGACCTGCGCAGAATGTCCACGCTGGGCTGTTGTGATAAGGAGAGCACCGGAAATAGCCCAGATGCCGGTCCACAAGCAGGAGGGCAAGTGACCTGGAATGCTCTCACCAGGAACGAAGGCACAGCCGTGAGACTGAAGGAGCATCAGGTACAGACAACAACAGATCAAGCTGAGAAAGAACAGAAAACTACATACCCTGCAGGGCAACTTCTGTATAAAAGCAAAACCAGAAAACTGTGTATTTAGACAGATTTCTTTAAAATCTGTTCTACATGCATTGGTGGGACAGATTTTAAAGAAAGCATAAATATGAGATGAACCACAAGGTGAGTGGAGAAGAACAGGGAGGCGGGGAGGAGGACGTGTGTGTGTGTGTGTGTGTGTGTGTGTGTGTGTGTATGTTCCGGGACACCCAAGTTACTGAAACATCGCAGCACTGGGTGGGCGGTGCCTTCATTTCATACATTATAAATACATTACCATTCCATCAAACGGGGAGTGAGTGTGGAAGAACGGGGAGCAAGGGGCTGGGGGTCAGGCCAGTACCAAACTGTGAGAGGCCAGAGGACACAGTGAGGACTTGACCTTCCCCAGAGGATGCTGGGAAGTCAGCACAGGAGAGGTGGGCTCAAATTGTGGTCTCGAAAACATCTTTTGCTACAGAAAGTGAGGCCCAGCAATCATCAGTACCAACATCACATGGGAGCTGATTAGAACTGCAGGCTTGGGAGACCAGCAGATGGCCTAATGGTTACGTCGCTGGACTCCTACATAGCTGACTGTGGTTTGAGTCCTGGACCTGGTAACTTAAAACTCATGCCAAGTGTGTGTGTGTGCATGCCCCAAATCCCGAGAAGAGAATGGAGGCAAAGCAATTGCAGCATAGTCATTCCCCGGGGTGGGGGGGCAGGGGTGGTGATTTCTTGCTTTCTCTTGCTCTGTCTCTTTGGCGAGTGCATGCGCCCTATAGCAAAAAGAGCCTCTTTAGGGGCCAGCAGGTGGCATGGTGGTTAAGGGCACTGGACTACCACATGGCCAACCGTGGTTTGAGTCCCAGACCTGGTGGCTTGCTTTCTCACTTTCCCTCTCTCTCTCTCTCTTGCTCTCTCACTCTCTCACTCTGTCCTTCTATGGTCAATTACAAAATAATAGATAAATAAAGTTAAATAAAATAATTCTTTTTAAAAAAACCTCTCTAAAAAGAAAAAAACCTGCAGATTTAGGGCACAGGCAGCATGGTAGTTAAGGCACTGCATTCCCACATAGCCGATGGCAGTTCGAGTCCCAGACCTGGAAGCTTGAAAATCACACCAGGTGGATGTGCATGTGTGCCTAAAATCCCAAGAGGAGAATGGAGAATGGATTGTGGCGTGGCCATCTTCCCCCGAGGGGTGGCTTCTCACTTTTCCTCTCTCTGTCTCTCTCTGGCAAGTATACACAAAAAAATTTAATTAAAAAATAAAAAAAAATCAGTGCAGACTCTCAGACACCATCCCGATCTGCTGAGCCATCATCTATATTTTAACAGGATCCCCCAAGTACACAGGGCAGCCTCAGAAGCCTGAGGTTCCTGCCATAGTGGAACAGCCTCACAGGGACCAGAGGGAGGGTGGGTGGCCGGGAAGGAGGTGACTGCAACCTCCCAGGTAGGAGATGCTGGTAACTTCTGCATGGGAGATGGGGACTCCGACTCCAGCTATCCGAAGGGGATAAGAGCAGGTGCATTTGGGTCGGGCTGTGGTGGGGCTGGGGAGTGCACGGGGCAGAGCGGAGCCTCTGCTACATGGAGCTTGGGGCTCGGTCTTAGCCTTTTCTCCACGTTGCTCCAGATGGACAATAGCCACCGTGTACTGAGACACTGGGAGCCAGGATTTGGGGGAAGCACTCTGTAAGCACCATCCTCTTTCTTTCTTATAGTTCTGGGAGGTAGACGCTGTTCTCCCCCTTTTACAAATGAGACACTGAGCTCAGAGAGAGGTGGCCTTCTTGGCTCGAGGGTTGAAAGTAGTGAGGCTGGGATTTGAATTTGAATCTAACCCTAGAACCTTCCCTGTCCACCTCATTACTGCTCCCCAGCTTCTGTCATGGCATCCGGGTCCCTGTCCAATGTCAGCCAATTTCCCAGCATTTCCTGAAACACTGGTCAGCCTGGGTGACATGCTAGTTGGGTGAAGGTGACCACAGATCCTGTGCCATGCCTCTCATTGAGAGACAGATCTAATTTTCCTCTTGCAGCTGGGGGCCTGTGTCACTCATGTGACTGACAGAACTGAGCTTCAGAGGTTCAGGATTAGAACTGCAGACGTGAGGAACCTGCAGGTGCATAATGGTCACAGGAAGCAGCGCAGCCCCCCTCAGAGCCTGCAGGACGTCCTCTCTGGAGGGACCATGGTGCTGGGGTCATTGTATAGACACCCAACAACAGCCAGCTAAGCCCAGCCTTCCAGGCCTCCCCACCAAAACACCAAATGTATTAGTGAAGCCCTGTTGAACCAGCCAGCCCAGCCACCCGCTGGAAACCTCAATGCCACGTGGAATCAAAGACTTATCCAGCTGAGCCCAGCCCAGTCTGCTGACAAAATGGTGACATAAAATAAAACTGGTTTTAAGCCATGACATTTGGGGGTACACTGTTAAGCAGCAGTAGATAATGGGAATGCTGGCTCCTGTCTACTTCAGCTCTCTGGCCTCTGCACCTCGGTTTCCTCCATCCTAACACCTGGAAAAGTCTTTTCCCAGATCCTAGACGAGCAAAATTATGCTTTCCAAGCAGGTCAAATACAAAGGAAAGTACGTGCTGGATCCTGTTCGCCTGCCTGGGGCACTGTCCTGCCAGCGGGTGCAGCCTCACTGCTGTGGATACCACCACTGGCTGCCTTCCCGCCAGTTCCTGGCTGTGTGTGTTGATGGGGCACCTGCAGGAGACTGACAGTGGAGAAAGGAAAGGGTGATCATTCCGTCTCCCTCCCTGCAGTCACTGGGAGTCCTCACAGCTGCCAGGGCTCCTGGCAGACTGCCCTCTCTGTAGTGATCCCTCTCCAGGTTCCCCCTGCCCCTTAGTGGAAAGGCAATGGCTCCTCTCATCACTAGTCAGCCCCAGAGGACTGCACACCCTCTGCTGCTCGCCCTAAACTCTGTGTGGGGGTTAGGACTTCTTAGGAAGCAGAGCCTGAAATCAAGACTTGAACATGAGGGACCAGTAGTTAGTGTAATGGCTATGTCATTGTACTCCGATGTAGTTGATTGCGGTTTGAGTCCCGGACGTGGTGACTTAAACTCATGCTGGAGGAGTCCAACCCGGTGGGGCTCCAGGACCCGTCTGAGCCCTTCGACCTTTGAGCATCGCTTCCAGTCGGTTCAGTAAGTTGGCAAGGCCGCTACTGTATGCGCCCCCCCCCCCCGCTTGGG